ACTGCTCACAGTTGCCGAACCAGTTTGCTAGATAGAGGCGCAGGAGACCCAGCCGGCAACAAGAGGTGTAATGGCTTGCATAAAATTACCTCAACTCCTCAGGCTATAAAAAGAACTATCTTCCAAACTGGTTTCTTTCTCAGGGGTATCCCATTTCTGCCCGGCGACGATGCAGCACCTCGAATATTTCATGAAGAAAAATAAAAGGAAGGAAATGTGCCAATCGCTCAAAAATGATCAAAGAATAAGGGAGAACCAAATCCGATAGTACTTGCGGAATGCAAAGGGGATCACATATATTGCAGTGATAATCACTGGAAATACCAAGTAATACTATCACCTAAAACTGTCATCACTTTTGACCTTAACCGAATCCTGGAATTTTCTCAATGGCGATCTTCGCTATAAATATTAAACACAAGGGAACCTCCACTTTTTCATAGAAAGGTGTTCCGAATCACACATCCTTCCCACGCTCGATGACTAATAATACCAACAGGCCCGTGGGGAACCAGGGCGGAGTATTCTATGTTGCTATCCTTCACTGCAATTCCAAATCAAAGGATGAAAAAATTCGTCTCGATGAAATGAATACATTTATGTTACAATTGAGTAATGAATACATTTATCTGATGCGTTGCATTATTTTATTTTTCGATTGATTTGGCATTTGATCCTTAATAATATGCTCTGCGAATTTTTCGCAGGACCCTAACAGTGCTAATTAAATTGGAAAAAGTTCTGAAGCATAAAAAAATCATACCACCAACAACATTGGTATCAAGTAGGTTCGAAATTTCAACTAAATCTTAGATTAATAAATAATAAAGACATTTTATTTTACATGCATATTTTTTTTATATTAACTTAGCCTTCGAAATTGAAAGATGTCTTCATTTCCTGTAAACCCACACTACTTACGCCCATGTTTAGTCAGGCGACTGTTTACTAGAGCTCTCTTTTTCTTTTCGTGCCTTTCAGTTTGATTTAGTGCCCGTTTGCTCAGATAAAGAAGTTTTAAGACTGTTTTCTCTGGAGCTAACGCATCCTTTGATCAAACATCTCTTATCTGTCTTAAGAGTATTTAGTTCTGAGAAAACTTCAGAAATTGCTTAACCCTTTTATAGGCTTTCGTCAGCATATTTATTTATTTTATCCCAACAGATGAAAATAGGGATCTCCTCCGTGTAAGTTTATGAAGGTTGCTCTGACATAAAAGAAGCAGAGGTAATCTGGAAGATGCTACACCGAAGCTTGTGACATTAAAATATTTTTTGAATTTAAATAAATAATTTTTAAATAGTCAATATTTGAAGTGTCCATATTAGTCTTGTAACTGGAGCAAGATTCTAGTTTATCTAGAGCACTTCACTAGTTGTTGATGTTTTGTAGATTTTTTGAAAAAATTATTTATTGAAATTTATAACTGTACTAAATAAATACAACTAGTAAATATGAGAAAATCAAGGGTGATTTACATGAGCCACTACCCAATGATAGCACTGCCTAAATTGTGCTATGTGAGAAGATCACGAGGCCATCTTCTTTTCAGACGCCTAGGAGGGTTATCAGGAATCGAGGAAGAAGCAAGGCTGGAAACAAGTGGATTCGGATGGGACTGAAGTTTGTCATAAATGGACATATATCTTGCTTCGGCAAAATCAGCAACATATGGAACATTAAGGATTTCGGATTGTAAGGATTGGATACGATAGTAATTCAATGATTTTCTCAACTTCCTTTTGTCCATATAGGGTCCTATTATAGTCATGTAAATGTGTCTTTTATAATTAATTGGAAGTTTAGAGCGTTTATCTAGTAAGTGTTGGAGCAGCCGGAAACGTTAGTTACTGTTGTACTAACTAACTACTGTTAGTTAAATGTTACTATTACTGAAAGTGTAAAAATGACTGTACAGTTAAAATTATATCCGTGGTTAAGAAACAAATATCAATTAACAGTTATTAACTTCTTCCTTAGTCACAAGGAAATTGGAGTATTATTCTAAAAATTGGAGTACGGGTAACTTTGGTACAATTTCATTTAAGAGAAGACAATTTCTCCTACGAACAACTAGATCGAGTACAGCCAAGATAAGGTTTACATGGACAGCAAATTTCGCATATTTGATCAGTTGTTAGAATTCGACTATCATTATTTGGACTTAATGATAATAAACAACCCAAAAATGATACTTTTAATGATGTTTCGTTATTAAAAATTATATTGATGAGGAAAGGATTGAAACTTGGGTCAGCAGGGGTTGAATCAGCAGATTAACTTCATTTACTACTTGATGTATCGAAATGTTGTCACCTTCAATAAGTTTATAGCATTTTGAAAAAGAGGTACTTTAATGTGTACAAACCGCTGGCACAAAACATTTAAGTCTTATAACTGTTTTATTATTGAAGTGATAAATAAGACGTATAATACACCATCAAATTATTCGCTCTCAAAACCACGTCTTCAGAACTAAATTCTCAACCTTATTTCAACTGAATACTATGTCACCTGATCAAAATTTGCCGTAGTTTATCATTGCAAAATGAATTGTTGTAACATTAAATTTGAACTATGGTTTGGACTTAATGAATGAACCAAATTTTAATCAGGAACTTCCTCCTCCCCTCCGGTCGACGGTGTCTAGCTTTACCATTGTTAAAATCTAGTCACCTTACTTTGTTCCTCGGCGCACTGCAGGACCCAGAACAATAACGGTATTGTAAGAGTATTATCAAAATGTAATACGTTTCTATTGGATAGCCGTTTCAAAGGAAGCATCTTCCATGCTCATCCAGAAAAATGAGTCCGTTTAAGGACGAAGAGCCAAGACATGACCTCGACTCGGCAGCCGGCCTTGGCTGGAGAGAATGCCTCTGCCCCTACACTGCACACTCACGTACACAACGGCTGCTTTCTTATGTCCCTTCCAATGGGATCAAGGTGTCCATTGAATATGGAGTGAGCTGGGTAATCGTTTAGTAAAATAAACCATCTAAGGAGATATTAAATATAATTAAGCCTCATAATTTGCCAATTCATCATACTACTTTTTTTTTAATTTTTTCTCAGTATATTTTTAAGCAGGTCGGTTTCTAACTGACTTCTGTTGATTATCAACCATTTTAGGAGACCTTCCTGTGCCACACTCTATAAAGTGGAAACTCTCAATTAAATAATTAATTAAGGAGGGCAACCTAGCTGTTGAGCGTGTTCTTGGCCAAATCTTCTCCTTGCACAACCCTTGGCATAGAAACAGTACTTTCATAATACTGAACCCAAGACATGGTTAAGGTTTTTTTTTTTATAATTTCGCTAGAGTTAAGTGCTTTATGAAATAATTGGGATTGGACATGTGTGGAATCCCTTCGACATTTGCCGCAGGGCTTGAATGAATTTCAAGGGTGCGTTGTAAAGGTATGGGACAAACCTTCCGACTTCATTCTGGCCATTACAGGATTAGAATAACCCTCCATGCCTCGCTTGCAGAAATAGAGCGCTCTACTGTAACAATGAGAAGACAGGCTGAGGTCGACCTGATGACTCAAGCTTTATATTTAGTGTTTATATTTAGCCAGCTCGGACACGAGGAGCTCGGTCATTTTGGACCGCTAGTGCATCGTTTAGATATCCTCTGGACGACTTGCGATCGGAACAGGATATTTTTATATTTGCGAACGTTCCTATTCATGGCTGACCGAGATCATGGTTGATTTATCGAACGACTAGCTTCTGCGTGGGATTTCTATTTGGGCATCGTTCAAAGGAAATCGTTACACATGATATACGAATTTTGCAATGGCAAATATAACGCAATTGATATTTAAAATATTTATTTTTAAATGAACTGTATGAATCACATTAGCTCCCTTATTCGCATGCCTGATCAACAGGTTCATGAAAAAGATTAAGTCTAATATTAATAACCTTACTATAACTAATGTCTAAGAGACAGATTGTTGTAATATTCAATAAATAAAAAAATATTAATCAATATATTTAAATATTACTAAATAATGGCTTTATTATAACATTTATTATTATAATGATCGCTGTATTTTATTTATCATCTAAGCTAAGACATATGACGTCAATATAATTGAGTGACTTGCATATTCAGACACCTCTGGCAATTAGAGAAGGTGTGCCAATCGACAATGAAATTACTCGACGTTTAACGCATTCTGATGCGTTTATTTAAATTGCTGATAATACGGCTTTCTCTTCCAAATAATACTCCATCACCATTTAATAAGTAAAGCTCTAATACTCGAATTTTTGAGACAGGTAAAATATATGTTGGTATATGTTATTATTGCTAACTAAACAGTTTTTAAAAATTAATTTAATTAGTTAATTTCCTATTTTAAAAAAATATAATTAAGTTACATAATTTACTCCAGTATTGAGTTAATAATAGAAATCAATGGTTTCACGATAACTCACAGCGATATCCTAACACTACATACAAGATATGGCGACAATTAAAGTACCTGATAATAGGCTTATAAGATCAAAAGAAGTCGGATGAGGGATCTTCTCGCTTAACAATCCATAAAAAAATCAAGACAGGTAGGGATGCCGCTGGACAATCCATTCCCTTACACCGATCAATACTTATATTCTTCCTGACAGCAAACTCACTAATTGTCAATATTTTTGACAAGTGTGGTTAAGAAATAAATGTAAAAAAAAAACATCATTTACACTAAAAAGGCCATATTACATATATTCCAATTAAAATTGTAAATAAAACAATACAATAAATGTTTGATCATTGAAGATACATGTCAAAAGTTCAATTTAAGTAGTAGGGTGAGGTGATTCCATCGTATAATCAAACAAATTAAAAAAATAATAAATGTATCTAATTTAATCGCTATACAGATACAACACAACGAAACTATCTGTGTAAATAGTTTTTTTAAACAAATTAAATTTTAAAAACACCTCATATCATTTAAATATTCGTAAATGCGTTATTAATTCCATTAGACATGTTAATTGATTCTGACTACACGTTTACTCCTGACCCACTGTTAAAATCACTTAACAGGTAATTTATTACAAGTTAATTATTATATTCATGAACCCATTATAATTCCGACAGCAGCCGCCCTGAAAGAGTTGTTTCATAAGCAAAGGCTTATCTAAGGACTAGATCTGCAAGACGTGATCCGCGGCTGCCGGGACAGAACATAGTCTCAGCAGTAGCAGGTCTCTATCGCGCCATCAACATCAGAGGAGGTATTTCGTCAGCGTTCTTCCGAGTCGGCGCCTCTTTGAGTTCGGATTACAGCCTTCAAATACAGCCTACCTTCCAGCTGACGAGGGACTACACTATAGTGACCCTTGGAATGCAAAGTCATGTATTTGTAATCAAGGGTCAATCACTTTTACATGTTTTGTTTAGGAAAAGGTATGCACCTCCAATTACAAATAAAAAAGTCCGTATAAACAGAAGTACCCAGAATGGGAGCACATTTTGACGATGTTTTGAAATGAAAAGCTTCAACCCAGAAGACAAGAACAAAACATGAAAAATACTGCAGTAAGTGTAATTGTGTAAAATCTGGGATTCATTAAATTCTGCTTTCACTTGCACTTTTGCAGGAGGCGGAAAGCAATCAAATATCTTGAGAGGAGAGTAGGGTTCATGAACCATCGACGTTGGGTGTGGGTATAAGCATCCCTACATGCAAGTACATCAAGTTCTTATTTCTTCATCTTACCTTCAACGTTAATTATAATTGCTTATTTCGTAATTCCGCAATTGTCTTATCTTAATCACACAAATAAGAAAAATTTCTCAAAATCTCGTATCAGCATGCCTCTGATTTTTCTAAAAATTAAAAAAAAAATACATTTTACAGAACCAAAATCATTTTTCATTGAATTATAACTTATTGAGAAAATATTGCGAGGAAATCAAGATGAGAGCTCTCGAAATTTCATTGATGTAAAATAAATTAACCACGGTAGTTAGGTGGAAATTAGGTTACAAAAAAAAAATATATAATAGAATAGAAAAATAACTTTATTCTGGGACGTTGTCTCTTAAGAATAACAGCATAATATTAAAAAAACTAAAGTTTATTTATGTCCATAAGATCTATAACATTGAATAAATAAAACATACATAAACATTAGATTATCTTAAATATTAACAACGAATGCAGTATGGTAAAGAGTGAAAAAATGTTTTCACCAAAAAAATTAAAACATAATAAATTTCCTCTAATAATTTAGGGTAACTTGCTAACAAGTAAAAAAATGAAAATTACTTCTGTTATTTAAATACATTGAAATATGTATAAATAATCAAACATTAAAAAAATAAGCAAAATAAAGAAAAATATAAATTATAAATAAACAAAAAATACATATCTGCTGTATAACAAGTACCTATAATATTTAAATATACAAAATTCAATTTCAGTAAAAATTAAATCGAAGGAAATTTTTTTTATTTTTTATTATTTTAATGGAATTTACAACTGTATTACATATAAAATACAATAAGTAAATGTGAAATTGATAACATGGCATGTACAACATGAAGAGAAACTACCCATTGGTAGAACTCAAGATGGAAATTTAAATTTGTATTTATATTCGTTTGTTTATATATTTGTAAGTATGTATTAATACCTGTAACTGACTGTTTTGCAAAAATAAGTGGAATATGAACGTTTTAAATGTGGATAATGAAGGAAAATGTCAATTCAAACATATTAGACTTTCAGTTGGCAGAATGACTGACTCAAATTTCAAAATTTTTTATTAGCTTGAGTGATATTTCTTGTAGTAAAATTTATACCTTTGTTTATAGTTCTATATATTCTATCTATATACTTACAGTTCTCAGTTCTATATGTCATCACGACAATCACCTACTCTAGAATCGACTTCCTCACTGTCTGTACAGATATTATAAATTTTACTACTAAAAATATCACTAAAATTACTTAATTAAAAATGTTTAAATTGGATTTAGCCATTCTGTCAACTGAAACGCTCATATAACGTGTAGTGAATGTATACTGTATGCATGGTTTGAAAACTAAATACTATTACGCTTTTAATATATTTTTTTTTATCAAAGGATTAAATCATAACACTTAAATAATCTCCTATTACGGTTGCCGAATAAAAATGTATTATGTCCCAAAAATAATTTGTCGTAGGCTGACAGAGAAACAATTCCCTAAATACTTTTCGACAGAGCCTATACTTTTTCCTTTCTATTATGGAGCATAGAAGTAAATTTCATGTTTTAGCAAGCTTTCATGGCCGTCTTCCAACTTGGCGCCATTGCTATTTAGATCTTTCTGTACACAATGTCCAATTATTTCGGGGATAGTGTACAGTTCTTCAAGTACACTGTTTGCGGAGAGCTCTAAACAGGATTTTGAACCGCGTTGGGTTCTAAAAATAGCAACTAAATATAAACAGTTATAGTAAATTCAAATTCCTCTGTCCTTTAAGCGTCTGAAAACCGTAGGATGTTAAAAAAAAAAAGATGGTGCTTATTTTTTAAAGCCTAAACCTCATAATTTTAAACTTGGTTCATCTTCCAATGTTAATAAACTACAAAATATCGTTATTATTTCTATAAATGATATACTCGTAACAATCTATATATTCAAGAAAACCGTATATCTTATTAAACGGAAAACAACCGTTTAAAATTCCCTGGTTCGTAAAGGATGGTTTTAAAATTGGGTTCGCTGACTCCGCCAGGCGATCATAAAACTTGATAAGTTGTTTGCCACAACCGGTTTCTCCATGTTTTGACGTATCACTGCCTCGGGGAGGTAGTAACTACCCGAGGTGTTTATACAATTTAAAAAGAAGATTTCTTCATGCTGGGTGGAAGAACTCTGGTTTCTTTGTATTCATTGCGAAAAATGTTAAATGTCCATAAGGCACAGGAGGGAACTTCATATATGATTTGCAATTGTGATTTGAATCTTTGTACAGGTTTGGTTAATTCTTAAAACGAATTAGTAACCTGAAAAACATGAGCGTATAATATAAATTATTATAACCATCATAATTAATTTGAATGTTTTGGTTAGAAAAGGGAAATCACTAAATGGCGTGATGTAACTAGCTCTTTTTAATGAGTTGGACATCAAGGATTCAGGAGAAAAAAAAAATTTAACTTATTATTGGTGTTATAAAAAGGTGAATATTCGTTTAATATTAACATATAATAAAAAGAAATATTAAAATTAATTACAACTGTAGTCGACAAGGACATATAGATATTACAATGAAACTAAAATGAATTTGAATGTGGAATCTATAGATACCTATAACGTGTAACCAAATCTATATCATTATAATCCATGAAGGGTCTTAGGTCAGTACTATGTGAATAAGTACAGTTACGAGGCTAAAGGATGTGTAGGGAGGGGATTAGGCCGAAATCACGCTCAACCGTTTGGTTTTTGCCCTTAATTAATTGCACTATAATTATTTAATTCAGAGTAGCCAATTTATAGAGGCTGGATGTGTCCCCAGAGGTCTCTCGACCCCTGAGTCGATCCACTAGTCATCAGTCGGACTCGAACCTGGGACCTTGAGTTCTGGAATTTAGTGTATAGATACCTATGCGTAATCAAAATTCAAACAACTCAAGAAGTACTGCTATTTTCTTTGCCCCAAATGTAACTTAAGGTTTAGCAAGATTAAATACTGATCGGGTAAAGTCAGTAAAAAGGTCGGGTAATTCAAATTTCTTTTTTATATTGTTAGGTGTGCAATAGCGTGATTGACTATAAAAAAATCCAAGTCTCCGCCCCTGTAAGCCTTATGGGTTCACTGTAATGCTCAAAAAACCATTGATATTTTAAACTTTTTTTGGTTTACTCTAAATATCTCCTTTTTAGAGCGACATAGATATAAAATTATTATATTAAATTTTAAACAACTTTAAATTATCTTTAATTTCTTTATTGAGTATTATAACAATCTGTCTGTTCGACATTGGTTATAGTGAGGTAGGATGACATTCACACCATATGTACAAAAAAATAAAATAAATAGAACAAAATAATAATCAAAAGTATATACAATAGACAATAAAATAAAATAACCTAAAAAATAAGAAAATTAAAACTAAGGAAAAAAAAAATAAATAACATGCATACCTATATACAATCAGGCGAGGGAACTCCAGGAGAACCCTGCGCTACTCTTCCAACCGCGTCACTGGTACTAAAGCCAGCGGAGATTGGTCGAGAGCACTTTAGCCACATACACACATGTCTTGAGTGAAGAATCTGGCCATTGCCAGAACTCCAATTTATATAATTTACAAAAGGTCGCGAGGCCACTGCCGTTTCAACCTTCTTGGAGGATTATAGGGATGGGAGATGCTTGATAGGGATTGTGCAAGAGGATTTGGGTGGTAAGTAAGGTTCTGGTGAAATTTTGAGAACTTTTCTGGGATAAGGTCTAGGACAAATGGGATGTTAAGGTCATGATGTAGGGTTTTGTTGGATACATAGAAAGGAGCATCGACTATTGTTCGAAGGACTTTAGACTGGAAGGATTGGATGCGCTTGATGTTAGAAAATTTTGCTGATCCCCACAGTTCTAGTCCGTAAGTCCAAATAGGTTTCAGTATTGTCTTGTAGATCAGTAGCTTGTTTTCAATGGAAAGTTTAGATTTTCTGCTTAGTAGTCGGTATAGTTGGCCGTATCGTCGGTTGAGTTCTTGTCTTTTGAGTCTAGTATGTGGGTTCCAAGTTAGTCTTCGGTCTAAATGAAAGCCAAGATACCGGACTGTGTCTGAATAAGGAAGCTGGATGGAATTAAAGAGTACTGGTGGACAGGAATTGCGTCGGAGTGTAAAAGTAATGTGTTGGCATTTAGATTCATTAACTTTAATGCGCCAGTTATTACACCAGTGCTCAATCAAGGTGAGATGACTTTGGAGATTTAAGGATGCTATTTCGGGATCAGAGTTGGATGATAAGATTGCGGTGTCGTCAGCGAATGTTGCAAGAAAAGTATCGGGATGAACAGGGATGTCAGCAGTAAAGAGGATGTAAAGCACGGGACCCAAGACGCTACCTTGGGGAACACCGGCTTTAACGGAGTAGATATTGGAAAATTCTGTTCCACAGCGAACTCGAAAGGAGCGGTCAGAGAGGTAGGATCGGAGGACTAGGTACAAGGACTGAGGTAAATGGATTTTAAGCTTGGAGAGCAGTCCGGAGTGCCATACCCGGTCAAATGCCTGTACAATGTCCAGAAAGGCACCCGAACAGTATTCCTTGTTTTCTAGGGCTGAGGAAATATGATCAACGACTCGGAGTCCTTGTTGAACAGTAGAATGTTGAGAGCGAAAACCAAACTGATGGGAAGGGATATTTTGGGATTCTATAATGGGTAGGATTCGTTTCAAAAGGATCTTTTCAAAAATTTTTGAAAGGATTGGGAGTAGGCTGATTGGTCTATAGGATGTTGAGCTATTGAGAGGTTTTCCTGGTTTTGGGAAAAGGATAATAGTGGAGTGTTTCCATAACAGAGGGAAGTGGGTGGTGCGTAGGATACAATTGTAGATATATGTAAGGAATATGACTGCTTTGGATGGAAGTTGTCGAAGGATTTGAGGTGTAAGGAGATCATGTCCAGGAGCTTTACGGAGGATTAGTTTTTTTAATTGAAATTTTACTTCGGAAGGATGAATAGCTTTTGGGGGCAAGGAAAGTGGGATTGGTGATGTAAGGAGTTCTTCTACTGTTACGGTGTGGGCAGGATGGGATTCCGGATGTGAAATAAATGTATTGGATAGGTGAATGGCGAACTCCTCAGCTTTATCTTCGTCAGATGCTGCCCAGGAGCCATCACCTCGTCGGAGAGGATGGGAAATGCGGTGAGGATTTAGGATTTTTGTTGTGGTTTTCCAAAGGGAATTGTCGCGAGAAGAGAGGGAGGATAGGTAGGAGTTGAAGGATTGTGATCTGAAGGTGGCTAATTCCAGTTTTAATTGTTTGCAGTAGTAATTATAGGAGCAGCGGTCGGTAGGATGTCGGGTACGTTGCCATAATAATCTGGCACGGCGTTTGGTGCGGATTAGGTTAAGGAGGTGTTGGGGTAGAATGGTCTTTATAGGAATTCTGGAGGAGTCTTTTGGAAAGGAGGCAGTCCAGGCGGCTTGTTGGATTGTGGTAGTAAAGGAATTTACGGCACTATCAAGGTCATCGGGAGTTTTGAGGGATATGTTGAGATCAATATTATCGGAGATTATTTGGCGGAAAAGGTCCCAGTTTACTGGGCCCCTAATGAATGACGGTGGAGAAGGTTTGGGAACAGGATCAAGTGAAACATTAAGGATTAGAGGACTATGGTCAGAGGAAAGTTCATTTAGACGTGTAATGGAACAATTGAGGGGACTTAAGCCGCTGTGGATAAAGAAATCTAGAAGATCAGGATTACGGTTGGGATCTGTGGGCCAGTAGGTAGGAGAGTTGGGGGAAAGGAGGTGAAAACGTTGGGAATTGAGTGCAGACAGCAGGGTTCGGCCACGAGAATTCGTGGTTCTGGAACCCCATTGTTGGTGCTTGGCATTTAGGTCTGCACCCAAGATGAAGTGATGTCCTAAGGAGTCGAGGAGAGAACTGAATTGGGCATTGGATATGGATCGGTTAGGAGGGCAATACGCTGATGCAAGAGTGACCGGAAAGGAGAAGGTTTTTATCACGATAGCGGTGGACTGTAGGAAATCATGTATTGGTAATGGGAGTAGGTGATGGGAGAGGGATTGGTGTACAATTACAGCAGTACCGGCATGTGCTTTTCCGTCAGGGTGGTCAGTACGATATGTCAGGTATTGTGGTATATTGAAGTGCTGTTTAGTGGTTAGTCGAGTTTCAGTAATTAGTGCCACATCAATGTTCTTGTCAAGTAGTAAAGTAGATAGTTCGTCTGTATGATTTCTAACACCATTCGCATTCCAAAGGAGAATGGATATGGGTTTAGGGATGTGAGTCATTTAAGGATTTTTCAAAGGAGGGATGAGGTGAGATACGAGATTCGTGAGGAGTGATATGAGTGGAGTAACAAGGGATTTGAAATCGGTGAGGAAAGATGCTAACAAACTTGTGAGATCTGTTGCATTTGAAGGAGGAGGAATATGAGGAATTTGTTGTTGGTGGTTAGGTATATTAGGATGAAGAGGATTTTGAGGTTGTTGTTGTGGCAGGGCTTGACATTTATCGGTTAAAGTCTTACCTCTCAGTAGTTGGGAGAATGATACATCATTGTTTACAATTCTGGAAGGCTCTCTATCTCTTCTTGTTCTTAGTGCTTCATCTTGAATCCGGTTTTTCTGGTGTCTGGTTTGTAGATTCTTGTAAATTTGGCAGCCTTTGTAGTTGGCCGGGTGTCCCTCCAAGCATAGGGCACATACTGCTGGATCTTGTATAGGTTTGGTGCACTCTACAGATTTGTGCTGTTCACCGCACTTCACGCAACGCGGCAGATGGTGGCAATATGTCTTCGTGTGGCCATAGGTCTGACAATTATGGCACTGCACGATGTCTCTCTTGGGATATGGCTTCTCAACTTTCACCATTGTATAGTATATTCTTGTGATATCATATATTTTTTCGATACCTGGTGATGGCTCCAAGTCCACGAAAAACAATGGTAGTGGGATCCTATTTCGTAATCCTGGCTGTTCCCTGTCCTCCTTCAAAACGTTTGTTACCTGGCGTACATTGAAACCAAGCGTCGTTAGTTCTTCTTTAATAACTTCAGTGGGGGTTGAGGAATGTAAATTTCTTATCACCACTCGTAAAGCTCTTTCCTGCCTCAGCTGGTAAGTGTGAAAATTCGCATTTGTTTCTGATAAGTACTTCACTATTTTTCGGTAGGCTTCTGCAGAATCAGGTGTTATCTTGGTGTCATTGGTCCTGTTAAGGCATGAATAACTGCCAGAGCAGATTTTATTTAGTTGGGTGCAGAACATCTGGAAATTTTTTATATTTTTCACAAATATCGGAGGAGGCTTTGGTTCTCTGGGTATTGCTGCAGACTCCATTACTTCTTTGTCATTTTGAAGCACTTGGTAGGGGTTTGGAGTAAAGAAAGGTGATTCTTCAATCGTTTCTTGTGCAGACGTACCTGGTTGGGGCTGAGGTTCTGGTTCTGAAGTGTTCATTTTGGTCACTGGAGGTATTTCTCGTAGGCAGCGACGAGTCCTTTGTTTGGCTGGTGAGCTAACTCCGTCTGACCGAGACCTCTTGGGCACCTTACTGGCCATCACTTGCTGATCATACCGCATATCATAAGAGAAAAATAAATAAATAAATAAAAAAAAAAGAAAAAAAAAAAATTTTTTTTTTTTTTCCTTAAAATAACAAAAAAAAAAAAAGATGCCAACAGTAAATATCAACTGCTCTGATATACACTTTAACTGTATCACGTGAATAACCAGAGAGATTCCGCTATAAAATTGGTAAAAACTGAGAGAGGAATTGAGGAGACAACCTTCTCATCAGCTGATCCACTGCCTTCTCCTTAAATTATCTAACATTTTTTTCTAAACCCAACAGGAAACGAACTATCAAGCTTTCAAAACGTGTAAAGTTTAAAAAAATTGTCAATTCAATTATTGTTTTAATATTTGTTCGTTAATACAATCAAATATTAACACAATCATTATAACACTATAACTATACTATTTTTGAGTACTTAATGATGTGGAAGACGACTCCAGACTGTCAGTGCCGCTTTTCCACCGACTGAGTGTATTTATAAGTAACTCCTTCAAATATTTTAAAAAGTAATCAGTGTTTTAGAAAGAAAAACTTATTTTAGAACGTTTTTCGGTATTGTTGACCGTTTATTTACAAAAGACACTTGATTTCCAACTTTAGTTTGAACGAGTTGAAAAACTTGACTTTACTTGTTGTTGTTTTTATTACCAAGGCCAATTATATTTTAATATTTTTCATCTTTTATTATTTTCTAACTATCCAGCTTTGATAACGGCCAATTATGAAGAAATTAAGACAAATGCCGAATCTCAGTGGCCGAAAAACTAACTCAACTCAAAGACACAAATCTGATATGTTAGAACGTCTTTTTTAGTCAGTGCGGCCACTTGTTTTATAGGAACATTGGCTTATTTTTAATAAAATTGTTACAAGTAACACAACTATAAGCAATTTATTGGGATGGTCTAGTCAATGGCTCATTATCTTCAAGAAAAACCTCCGAGTTCTCTGCACCAGATTAAAAATGGAATTACAGAATTATTCCGTTCAAAACTGAAAGAGCACTATTGTGAGGAAATTGAAATGGGTGAATTTTGAAAGCTTGATAGTTCGCTTCCTGTTGGGTTTAGAAAAAAATGTTATTGCAACTCTTCTTTGCCGCGCGTCTTGAAACTCTCCTTTCTATGTTTATTAGTATTTTAAGGTCTATATCTTCGTTATTAATTTTTATAATGGCCTAGATGTACATATAATAACTAGGTGGTATGGCTCACAGAGTTTTAATAATATGTATATTTAAACTTATCAAGAATATACTAGAAAATGTCAGAAGCTATTTCAGACGCTTTCCAATATTGTTATAGAACTAGAAATTATTGATCCGGTTGACATTTAGTCAATAACCCCATTTCCCAGACCGATTCCATTCTGTGCTATTTCCAATCCGCCCTCGTAGATCCGGTGCCCATTATTTCTGACCGGTGTTCTAAAAATGCCAAAAGGTTTTGTCAATATTCTAAATACTAGACAAATAGAACCCACACCCTCGCCCTCAATGCAAAGGTTCTAAGTCGGAGTCTCTTCAACCATCCTATTCCTTCTGATCCTTTGCTTCCTTACCGATGGTTCGGAAAAACAATAGCGATCACGAGGTGTTTGGTCTGGAACGAGTCCTGGGTATTAGCAATTCGTTTTACTTTCTCCTTCGGCAGGTCGTGGGCGCTCCGGAGTCAACGAACTGTCCCCGTTGAACCGAATGTTCCGATGCGGAGATCTGCGGTTTCGGAGCAATACCGGGATATGAATTGTTTTGAAATCTTATACGTACAAGAGTATTAGTAAAATTTTGAGAACGGATAGCATTTCAAGTATAGAATTCCTTAAGTTATCGTATCACCATTATTTCAAAACTGAATTTCCCCCCCCCCCTCCCGATCCCTCTGAAACAGAAAAACATGAAATTAGTATTATATTCGAACCATTATTTAGTGATGGAACGATACTCAGATTCATCTTAACCTTTTTCTACCTTTGGTATTTGACGGTGTATTTATTGAAAATGATATCTCTTCCTGTCTATTTACAGGAAATGTTTGGAGTTGAGTGTCCTCCGCTATATGATAATTTAAAAACTGCATTCAAACGCTCATGGTTATACCGCTTAACTGCTACATAGAGAAACAAATAAATTCAAAATTTTCACAAGAATAGTTTTCAAAATGTTGATGTCTGGCTAATATATCACTGATATAAACTTTCTACATATTTTCAACAACAACCGACATTTTGTGGAATATGGTTTCGTTGGATAGGAGTTGGCGCGCAAAAATCCAAAAATTCAAGTTTGTTGTTTTTTTTATTCAATAGTATAGTACGACAATGATGGCTTGTTGGAAATTAATAAATTTATTTAACAAAAAAAAATATTTTAAGATCGATTGGAGCCGCAGGACAACATGAGAAGTGTGTCAATAAAGATGTGGAATAAAATAGAGAGGAAAAATAGATCCAAATAATTATTAAAGTTTGTATTAATGCATATTAATCATTAATTAATAATTTATCGAATTGTTTGCACTGTATTTTGTAAACTATAAATATTTCAAATATACGATTTTTTTTTATTGTGGTTATATATTTCAAAAATGAAGATATAAATTTGGCTACACCTCGTATTGTAGCCAAATGTCGCTTGTTGTAGCAATGAAATTATGTAGAATGTTTTACCTACGAGTTAATATGATAACATGTAGTCAAATGTCGCTGGATAATAGTACATTTTCATATTATTAGGAGACAGAAGCAGTACAAATTAATATATATTTAAAAATTCCAAAGCTTCTTTATTAATTTTTGTTTTCGAATTACAGATTTTGTAGATATTTTTCCGCCTTGACCAGCCTTCTCACAACATGCCTTCGTCACTTTCTTTCCAGCTATTTGCATGCAGCATATTGCATCTTCGTTGAATGGATCTATCCATCTGATTTTTACCTTCCATTTGGTCCTTTTCTAGCTGTTATGACATTAATTGTTGTGTCGAGGCTTCCAAACAGGATATTCATATCACAAATATGATGATTCTCATATCATGAAACAAAACCTGCAAACGATTAACGGTAATACTCTTATCAATCTTAGTTGTGTACTTAAATACAAAATAAGATGCCTCTGAATACGTAAAAATTACTATATTGGATCTGCAATATCTGAAAGAACGGAATTCAAGAGAAAATAAAAACTTGGACCTCTATATATTTCTAAATTGCCGATTGTCTCAGTTTGTAGTCTACTTTCCGTTAGCTTAGAGATAACAATTACTCTAGACTTTCTACTATTATTAACGGAACAATTACACTTTTTGACAAACGCTTGTAATTTATAATTACATGAAATAATAATAGGCGATTTGAAACAATCACAGGCGGATCTACGAGGGGGGCTTTCGGGCTGAAGTCCCTCCCCCCCAAAATGGTAAAATATAATCATGTTTTACAGAAAAAAAATATTAAAAACTATCTCTTAAAGTATTCTTGTTAGTTTAATTACATTTAATAGGACTTCAAGAACCACTTAAACACCATTTCATATAGGTAGTTAATTTCTTTCTTTTTTTTCAAATTAATTATGGTTATATGTATATGAAAAAAAAATCTTTCGGGCTAAAGCCCCCAAAATTAAATTCTAAAAACAATAATAATATATATTAATATTTTTCTTGCTACTGTTTTATCAACACCGTTCTTTAATGGGATATATATATATATATATATATATATATATATATATATATATATATATATATATATATATATAAATAATGGAAGAACTTTGTTTAATTTTCCAATTTCAGCAGAATTGTTTCCCACCCAGCAACACAGCCTTAGAAGGGACGTGTTGCCGTACGTTGCACAACACCTAAGAACAACAACCCAAAGACATGTGGCATGAGGGGGAATTGTTTACGTAAACACGTGTGTTCTAACCCATTTCCTCCTGCCCACGTGTCCTGCTGACATATGTAGATGCTGTTGGCTGAGTGTGAAAGCTAAACATCGTGTAGAGAATACGATGTTTCTGCAGAATTATTTTGTGAAAGTTGTTTTTTGTTTCTATTTCTAACTTATTTTCAGTAATAAAGTAAAATATTGAAATATGTTATGTAAGGTTAAACTATAAATAATAAGTTGTTGGAATACCGTAGTTGTAACTTGCATCAAGATGGTTTTGGCCAACTTAATATAAAAGTATAAAAGTGTATATTTTATCACATAAAATCATTAGGTATATCCATTAATTTCGTGGCATCATTTTTCAATCCGATTCTTAAAGCCACATTTGCACCTTCCAAAAAATAAATAAATAAATAAAAACTATTTTTTTATCTTCAAGGTGAGTACACCACACAAATATAAATAGTATAGTGATATAAATAAATAAGATTCCTATAAACTGTATAATGGATTCACTCATGGAAACAAATTAGATCTAGCGATTTCTTAAAGTATTCCCTTAGAAAGACTAATTTTCAAAATATTTCCAGCATGACAATATACTTCAACAGCAGCATTATGTAAACATTATCTTGACAACTTTACAGATTTGTGTGATTTCTATAACATTCGATTATCAATCTTATATGTCAAAACTAAGATTAAAAAACTCTTATATTTGGGCATGATCAAATAAGCGATTATGACGTGACAGGCATTGAACAGGTGCTTGTGAAGAAAACAAATAAACTGCCACTTCATCTGTATCTTGAAATGCTAAATTTCGTATTTCAGAATATGTGAACCTTCACTTAAATTTTCACCAGTCTTATAGTATTCGCCTTAATTAACAATTTGTATTTTTTTTTTCTTAGCAGACAGTTTTGCCTGTACTGTTATGTATTATATGTGTATGCGTTCTGAGTGTTATATTAATATGAATGTATAAGTCAAAGTGGACATGTATAAGGTTTCTATATAGGTTGTATTTTTTTTAATTTAATTGATTTCTTACTATCGCAATTTTCAAAACCTACATGCAATTTTTAAATACATTCTTGAATGTTGATATTGAATTTAATTTTATCATACAATGATGCCACTGTCTTCAAAAATTAAACCGTCTTGGACAATAGACTTGAGAAAGAACGTATGGAATTTTCATATCCACGTTATCAACATCCAACAAATGTTTTTGTTAACATTTCCGATTACGAATATCTGTAGAATAATTCATAAGGAAATCTCTATATATTATCGGTTGGACGCCGCCTATCGTCATTTATATTCTATTTAAATGACATTTAAGGATTTTTTAAAAATGTGAAAATGGATATTTGCTTCAATACTTTATCATGATTGCAGAAAATAATTTCTCACCGTGAAAATATAACCCATTTTGTAATGTATGGGCGTATGACTTTCTAGTGCGAATTTCATCTAAATAAGGCCTCAGGCGTGGCAACCGATTTAAATCCATCTATACTACGGAGCTGGAGAGGTTATTTCTTTGAATGCCTTATTTATGCAGGAACTACTAGTCCGAATTCCATTATTAATTTTAGTAAACCAGTCTTCTAAGATCGTATGAATAGTCATTATTCATTATTTTTTTTTAGCTAACAAAAGATGTAAAACATAAATGACATGAAAAAATCAGTAGATGAATAAAATATGTTATATATGTAAAATAAAATTAATGTTTGAATTGTCATAAGACTTGAAAATGGTTGAGCGCTGGCCAAAACTTTGTCAACAATATTATAAAAGAAATAAAACATTGGTAGGAAATGTCCTTAAAAATAATTTTTTTTTTTTTTATATATTGATCTTTAAGTTTGCCAACAAAAATTAATATTGCGTATGTTATTCAGATATATCAGATGCTCTTGGCCATATATCCATGATGTATATTAAATGGGCATCTGTAGTGCAAATTGTATGTTGATCATTGAATAATGTTGGGGCAGAGCTTGTAAAGCGGATGAATAAAAAGCGGAGTTTCATCCATTTTCAAATATGGATTCCGTCAATTTTTAACAGGGATTCAGATTTAATTTATTTTATATTATTTTTATATTTTTAGAGGCTCAGTTTTAAAAGGGAGCAGATGCAGACCACGTGACAGAGTCTATTGTTTTAGCCTCTTTAGGAATCCTCCAAGATCATAAATATTGATCTTGGCCCTTCATTTGTTTCATTCTGTGAATCGTTCTTTGCATATGTGTTATGTATTCCAATGGTCCGACCTGATTCTCTTTTAATCTTTTTCAATATTATCGATTGATTGATGAGTACGCTGTGTGATTTAGCAACTCAACTTAGTTAATCAGCCTTGCAATATTATTATTGTAGTCCTCTCTTTTACCTGTTACATCACGAGAGACGCTCGGACGCCCCAGGTACCGCCAGCGCTAACACAGGGCAGCACACACCGAGAGTGCGTAGTGGCAGCTGGTGCCCCAATTACTGGGACAGGTTTCCTTATCGGTGGTGTCCTTGCGGTCCGGCCTCTGCAGTCGCCTTCATTCCTCCAGCTCTTAGTCTCCGGCTGGTATCCTCTCGTCATTTAAAGGATCTGGATTAGCTGTCTGAGGGGAGTACTAGCAGGAACTATGGGGTGAGGACTTGAATGAAGAGTACCCAGACCGACTAACAAGTTCTTCCGCGAGTCTAGTGCCCAAGATGGTTTCATCTTTGGAGACAGTGGCATCGTGTAGGATAAAATTAAATTTACCATTCAATAATGCATTTAAAATTAAAGTTCCATGTAGGTTTTGAAAATTTTGTAACTAAGAAACTTTTTTGTTGTGTAAGTAAGGACAAAAAAAAAACAAACAACCTGTA